GGTGAATAATTGTTTTAGTATATACTAAAACAGTGAGATAATTGAACACAAAATGATAATTTTTAACTCATTTACTGTTGCCAACGATTACAATTTTGGCGCGCGATGACCGAACGGCCGAGGTCGTCGCTTTTTCTTAGCGGCAAATAAAACTTTTGAAGGCGTTTGTTTAGCTCTTGCGGGGAAGTTTCTTCAAAAGGAGTTGTGAATTCTGTTTGTATTTAAAATCATTCTGTAAAAAAGGTTATTAAATTTAGTTTTAAGCTTATTTATGAACAAGTCAACTAAATAAAGTAACGCAAGACTTAAGCTTAATTTGCAGTTCAAAACAAAAAACTTTTTCACCGGTTTTATCGATAGCTATTCAAGTCGAAAAGACAAAGCTTTACCTGTTAAAACTTGCAAACCGAACTTCGTCACCTTCTTCATGTATTTCGGAAATAGCTTGCTTAATTAGTTGTGAAATTTCTTAGTTTGTTACGGCAGCAAACCGGGAAAGCATTAATTTGCTTCCAACCTACGCGAGTTTGGCGTCGCTCGCTCGGAGGAACTGGAGGTGTTTCGAGAATGGTTGTCGGAAAAAGTGCACGCGACAATCCCGAAAGGCATTGTGGGTGGTTTTGAGTTCACTATTCTTCAAAGAAATTTGAAAAAAATGGCAGGAGAGGCCATGGACTTGTGTTTGAAAGTGCTAAAGGAAAGCAACAAAACTAAGTTCGACAGCTACAGTGTCAGGAACAGTGTATTGATCATATCCCATATTACCTTTCGGGATTGTCTCGTGCACATTTTTCTCAGCTCATACAACCTTTCTCGAAATAGCTGTATACTAAAAGCGTTTATAAAGATGTAGCACAAGCAAAATTTTGCCCTATGAATTTATTCAAAGAGAGCTCTCCTCCGCGGCCTTGATAAAATGAACTTGACAGTGGTTACGCAGCCCCTTGTTTTGTCGTTAACACTTTCAAATAATGCATCCTCACGAAATTTTCTAGCCTCCTACGTACGCAGACACCCAGGAACGGGTGACAAACCACTAAGAGTCGGCTATGAAATTTGAAACGAACTATAGAAAAAATAGACCTACCATTGGTTGCCTTTGTTTGAACAGCGACAAATATGAATACCCACAGCAAATAAGCAACTTTGAATGTCAGCATGCTTTGTCTTGTCCTCCCGGCAAAGAAATTTAAACTACAAGCAAATAGAGATGTTGTTATTTAGGAAGACTTGATCGATCTAACATAGACCTTAGCTATATGTCGAGCGGGCAATCCCAAAGGCTGAAACCGTCTTTTAATTACTTTGTGTAAAAGGTACCGGTAAACTTGCAAGTTAAGTTAACATTGAACTGGAGAAAAAAAATCAATAAAATGAATAATAAAATTTAAAAAAAAAAAACGTTGTTTCGAGCTTGTTCTTTTAAAGAAAAAGAAAATATAAAAAGGAAAAAAAACTCTGAGAAAAACTCGCTTGACCTCAAAGATATATTGCACCTTAACCGTAACGAGTCCGTCGATTAGTCCCTCATTTTTCTTAGGGATAGACTAGAGGGAGCGAATACTCAAGCGCGCGTCTCGCTTCTCATCGTGCGTGACAATTTTCACGAAGTTTGAACAGAACGCTAGTATCTTTTAGAAGTGATGTGTTTTGTAACCATTAAGACTGATTTGCCATGTCATTTAGTGGTTCAAACTCACGCCAAAGTCGGTCCACGTACGACTATTGAGGTTTGAAGGTATCGGAGGCGCAGGGCTCCCGGCTTATGAACGCGAGCCAGTAACTGTAATAACAGTAACCATAATCTTCAGACATGAGAAGCCTCAGTAACTTACATGTGCATACACTACTTTTTAAAATTTATCCTCGACTTTTCAAACAAACTAATGTGCGCAAAAGGAGTATAATCGGAAAACGTAAGCGTGCATGCAAAGTTATACTCTTTCGGAAAATTTGACATCAAATTGCTTTCGAGAAAACTTCATAAACTCATTTATAACTATTTTCGTTTCACCCGGCGCTATCATGCAATCTTCATTTCTTTGTCGGCGGAAAAAGGTTGAAAAAATGTATGCATGCGTACGTGACAAATGTCTTCATTTGCTTTCGAGAGAAATTAGTACACTGGATCAACGTAAACTCAGTTCAGCCATTATGCAATCTTTGCAATCCTCTTTTACGCAGTTGTACCTTAGCCTCAATCATTTTTTTTAAGTTTGTAAAGTTAACCAGGATTAGGGAGACTTGAGTCATAAAATGGGTATTTAGGTTCACGACTACTTTTAAACTAGTTTAGCGTCCTTAGTCTTGTCCCTCTTGTCTGACTTGTCTACAGATGAAAACGTTTTAACATGGGCTTATTTATCAGGGTGAAGTTAGCTTAAAATGCAGCTCCCTTGAAAATCGTTCGCCAAAGATTGTAACATAAAACTGACCCATATGCATCTAGTGCGTACATCTGCATTTAAGTTCACAAACCTTTTCCTGACGTGGGAAGTATGCACCTCTACCTAGCGATTTCTGCGTCGCCGTTACTTTAGGATATATGTGACTTTTAGAGGCAACAATTTAAGGTCATATGTAATATTACCCATTCAATCAATACTTATCAAACGGGTCCATTGAATAAGAGTTTTCTGAGTTGAATACACTCTAATTAATGGTGTTCATGCATGCAAATTGTTAACACTTATACTACGTTTAGCAGAAAAACAGTTTACAATTCATTATTGTTGAAAGATGGATCATTTGAGCTTTGTTCTATTTTTTGGGATACCGAGCCTCTGCGGAGGTGTTTTAATTGCAAGGCGAGGTTTTTAAGATTCCAGGGTTTCAGCCAGGGTCTATTCTAAGTCTTTTTATAGCGAATCTCAAGGGAACCTCGAGCTGTTTGTAATTATATTCGTCTTGGGATTGTCGTTTTGAAGGCCAATACCAAACGTCCATCTTTTCATGACACGAACCAAATTGTACATGGTACACGGTACACGTAATTTAAATTAGGCCGACTCAACATATTTAAGTAAAGTTCGTCTTCTAGCCGAGACAAAGAACAAGTGAAGCGTCGAGCCGATCAGAAAACAAAATATGGAATAATTGCATGTTTATCTTTTGGCTTTTTTGGGCAGAAAACTCAAAATTGAAAATTTCGCTCAAACAAAGGGCAGAACAGTTATCATAATGTTATTCTTGGAGTGCCGTGAATTTTATACTAAGAAAAAGTAACGATAAAATTATTTTTAAAGCAGTAGTTGCTTTTCGTTTTCTTAATTATTATGTACGGTCAATCATGCAATGAGGATTTTGGAAAAAAAAAAGGTTTTGAGCAGATGAAACTTTAAAATCTCCATAAGCCTAATATGTTGCATGAATTTTTTTAAATTACAATTTTAGCTTAAAACTCCGTATTTAGGTGTGGTTACACTCAAGCCATTTTGCCCTAATAGCCAAATGGGTCTTTCCCACCCACGGACTGAGAAACAACTTTTTGTGTGTGACCGTCCACGAATTTAACAATCTGAAATTGTATCGTAGATACGTAAAAAATGACAAAAAAATTCCCCATGACGGCATTGACGGCTCCCGAGGTGTTATATGGGATGAAATAAAAACCGAAAGGGGCTCAACCAATCACGAGAAAGTGAAATGTACCAAGTTACTTCAAGTGCTATGTATTCATCTCGGCGCCAAATGAAAATCCTACGTACAGCTGGGCTTAAAGTTCAACATCCCAAGAGGTTTTCGAACGCTACTGTGAACGCTTTTACGTTGAAACGACCTTGAGCCTTGAGTCGTTATTGCTAAGCATAAATAATGTGGAGGTTTCATTTAAAAGGTATATATGATCGAAAACGTTTTACGTTTTAATCAGCCTTTAATCATTATATTGACAAGGACGTTTACTGCGAAAACGGGTTTCTAAGGGTTTTTCTTCACCTGAGGCAACTTATAACCGTGTGATCAAAACCCAGAGCGAGCCTAACCCTAAGCTATTTCCCCAAGGGGAGCTCTGGAGAAAAGGTCTAGTCAAGTATAACCGCACCTTTTGATAACCATTTCCTACAAAACTATTAGCATGAACTCTGATTCCGCGTGTAAGCAAAACTTCGTGTACAACTCTTCGCGACTAGTAAGATTAATTTTTTCAGGATTTTTTTCCCCTAGATTTAAAACTGAAGTGACAAATACTTAACCATGATCTGACTTAATGTAGGAGTGAAAGGGTTAACAAAACCCAACAGACCTAGGCTCAGTGTCGATCCAGTCTTGGATGTCTGGCGCGATGCGCTGGCCGTATTCCCCACCTAACATGACCTAACTTGTGGTGGTGAGTACGGCGAAGAGAAATAAGACTTAGCTTTTGAAAGTTTTTGTGTGAAATATCACTGCACTTTAATGACTTTCTATTAAAGTTAACCACTATCCCAGTAGGAAGTGCACCTACGAGAAAAGTTCGTTTATTCCAAAAACAAATGTGTGGACGTGCCTGAAAATTCAACTCGTCATTATGTTACATATAGTTTACGTACAACTCACGGATAGACCCTTATGGAATACGCAAATGACTTTTAATTCAGAGTATGGCCATGGGGGTAAATATTGAAATTCTAGTCATATTAGCATCTTTCTTTCATTTATGCACTTCTTGCATTGAAATTCGATCCTTTCCTATCGTCCACAAGTGCAGTCGGCAGGTGTAATTTGTGGTGATAATCATTTTAATTGGAATGCAGTCTATTTACTACTGATTCCCAATTGCTGTTGCCGATTGTTAATCGCTACTTTAATTGCTGATAAGCCCTCACAAAACAGAAATAATAGCATTCCTCCTCCTAAACGCCCTCGACTGACTATAAAGCAGCAAAAATATATATTACGCAGAAACCCTCTTGGAAAATTCAGGCCAAGCCTACCGATCAGTACTACCTTTTTGTTATTATCCCGTTCCTCCCCTCTCACGGGAAAGTTTAACAAGAGAATACATTAAATGTGTTCTTTCCATCATCATGAATATAAAAAATTAATCAAATAACAAGTTTAGTAGGTTCAAACATTGCCCATTGTTCTTTTGAACCAGTTAGTTCTAACAGCTAATTGCCAGTTAATTGATTTATGTGGAGAGAAACTCTGCTGCCTTCGCCTCCACACATGCTCGGTAGCCTTCACGATGATAAGCCGAAAACAAGGAAGGTGTGAAAAACTGATTCGCATTGCTGTGACCTGGGAAGGAGCCACAACACCACTGTGATGCTGAGCGGCAGGTTGAACCATGGCAGCACTCACAGCAACAAAAAGTTAAACGGTCAACTTCTTCTGCCTTTAGCGTAGGCCCGGTACCCCACTGACCAGCTTCAAGATCAACATCAATGTCACGCAACGCTATTTTCCATGAAACGCGTTCTTTAGTTCGCACTCCCTTGCTAGGATGCCGAGGAGCGAGTAATAGAATTTGCCCTACTCCAACCATCCTTTCGATGCCGTTATCATGGTCTGCTGAGTAGTAACTGACTTTAAACCTGATGATAGAAATTAGACCGGCGTCAAACGTACATCTAATTGACAGGGCATAAAATTTCTCATTTATAACTGGAAATTTCACGAGCCTGATATAGCTAAAAAGTTCAGAGAAATTTTCTTTGAAAACACTCGACAAACATTTACAAAGAATGTATCTGGTCATTAACGTTTTTGCCATCCAGCAACTTCGCAATATTTGATTGCCTATATTTTCTTAGTATTGCTTGCAAAGAGCTGGAAATTGCACAAACTGCTGAAATTAACCAGCTCTTTCAACTTTTAGGCGACGTTTTCTATAGGTTAACCTGTTTGCTAATTACCAAAAAGGTAAACAATGAAGTCAGCAGGGATTCACTCAACTACACTGAAGGAACCAGTTGAGCTGGGTTTTACAGACAGCTTAGTTTATGAAAGCGAATGTACTTACGTGTAGCTTCTTGGCTGCTCGCCTTGTTTCTTGTCCACAAAGTTTACCCGGATATCTTCCATAACGTCACGGCCGTCTAAAGCAGTGAAAGAGCATTGAAGCTTTTTTCTGGCCAGTTCTAACGAGTGAAGTAACTCAACACCATAATTTTTGTCTGATTTGCATTCTGTTCCGTTGGCGATAACGATTTTTTCTAATCGTAGCTTGAGCAGAGGTAACAAGCCGAGATTTTCAGTATGACCGCCATCACTGATGCGCATGACTGGAGGGGGTGATGGGCCTACGTTGATGATCCCCGTCATGTCTCGTATAAAGCGTACGTAGGGTATATTAATTAAAAACCACCTGATAGAAGAGAATGAAAAAGAATACAACGATTAATAAGTTAGGCTTTCATTAGCCTGAGAAAACAGACGACATTTCGCGACGCCGCAACAGTTTCCCTGCAAAATGACGTCAAGAAACGAGCGTAGAACCCAAACTGATGACGCGTCACTCCAGATCTGGGCAGTGACATGTCCTCAGTATGGAATTTTTGGGCTCGTTATAATTTTCACTTGTCATTTTGAGGGGACATCATTTGTTGGCGTCTCGAAATGTTGTCTGTTTTCTTAGGCTAGGCTTTCATTGATTTGTTACTTAATTTTGGTGAAAAATGGTGAAAATAAGCCCCTCTGTATATAGTAGAGGTTCAAGGAACACTGGATTCATTTGCTCGCAGGTGTGGGCTCCTCAAGCTGTTAATCATATCCTTGACATCGACAGAATTTAGCGGCGCGCAACAAAATTCATTCTGTCTTTGCCGTATCGGTCTGAAGTTAGTTACGAGCAGAGGCTTTTGACAATTGGGCTACTACCATTATGTTATTGGCACAAGTTTTTAGATTTGGTGTCCTTATTCAAATGTTTAGCTTGTCCATCGGATCCTTTTATTTCAGTCATCAATTCCACTAGACCCAGGCACACTGTCTCCTCCAAGGGTACGCTGTTGAATACGATTAAGGCCAACACCGTCACCTTTGAGAACAGTTTTTACCGTAGAGCCCCAAGAATCTGGAATACTTTACCAGGCCACCTCCGGAACACTGGCGGTTCAGTAGTTATTACTTGTATCTCACTTAGTCTGTTTATGATGTCGACACCCCCCAGACCTTTGAGAGTGTGTGTATTAAGTGCCCACTAGTTGGCCATTGAACAGCTTGCTCGATCGTATGTGCTGTTGATTTTTTATCGATGTCCTCCCCAATTCTGTTTTTGCATTTCTGTTTCTTTTTTTGTCGTTTCTAAAGTATTGTAATTCTTGTTAGTTGCATTATTAATTGTCTTTTTTTTGCTGGACCTCGTAGTGGAGCTTGCTCTGTGAGTGATCCAGGCCCCATGGCGAAGTTTATAATTAAATAATTTATGGTGTCTACTCCTACTGCTTATGGTATTCTTGGTTTAGTAAGATAATGAAAAATGAACACCAGAACCTTCAAAACTGATATATGACATACACTGTACCTTGTAAGCTTTTCTGGTGGCCCTGGTTTTTCTTTTCCAGTGGGAATCATCGCAATAAACGATAACGTAAAGATTATTCCCAAGTAAAAGAAAACTGCTATGGTCATCCATTTCTCGTCTCCATCGACAAAGTATAGGATGGGGAATACGATCAAGGGAAGCGCACGTAAGGTCTCCATTAAAAGTGGTAAAATCTGAAAAAAATAAGGAGTAGATCTGATAAAAATTTAATTGCCATCTGTGGACATTGACTAAAACTCCCAGGTTAGACAGCAACCAATAATATCCATTTTTCAAGGGTACCTATTTCGTTTTAGTTTTGCTGATCCCAATTTGCGCAGAGAGGTCCCTCTCACCCCATGAAAAAAGAATTGTGCACTACTGCAGCCCGAAGATAACCTTTAGGCCCTAACAGTATAGCATTTCCTAACAAGTTCTGTGCAACAAATACTCCGCATGCTCCAAAAAGCATTTTGTTTTTTTAATTTTAACAGAAACCGTTAACAAGAAGTAGTACACTTATTGTAAATTGAAGTTAGTTGGAAATCTCTGCCAGAGGTAATCTATCTTACTTTGTAGAGCATATTTTTTCTTCCTTCTGTTTGAAGATCTGACAAAATAGATGTCCCCATGGCGGTCCCTACAATTATCATCAAATCTGTGCCCAAATGTTTCACTTGACTGGTGTCTCCCACCACCAGCCTCAAGTGAGGTGACAGGGAAGCTGCTGACAAAGCCATTGCCTCAGACAGTCTTATATCGTCAGGCTCTAGTTTGTCCATGAAGGTGTCCTCTTCGTACGGGCTGTCCAGCCGTTGTATTTCTCGTGGAGTGAGTGTGAGCAGCTCGTACGATTCTTCATCGTCTGGTGTCCTTTTCCAGTTATTCACAGTTGTGTTGCAGATGTAATACGGAGATATATTTTCAAAGTCTGCCAAGTTTAAGATCTTTCGTTCCTTTGATATAAACCTGGGGTAAGTGAGAATCAAGTCGTGCCATCCAATCCCAGAGCAACCAGTCTCACCCACACTCTGAGGTGTATAGAATGCCTTTTGCAGACGCCACCTGACGTATAGCAAACATATACATTAATTTACAGTCTATAATCATTTATTTCTAGAGCCGTTACCAGAAAGGAAACACATCTAATATTATAAATATCCACACCTGCTCTGGCTCTGTCGAGGATGAGTTTTACTAGTCGAACTGTTGGTTATTAGTATTTACCAAATCAGTGAATACAAATTTTCGCTCGTTTTGATTGGCTCCCGTATACGTAACTCGGAATATCCTTGGCTATTCACTGTTTTGCGTCCCGAGCCAAGATGGCGCCTCATTTAGAGACGTTTCCGGGAGACCAAATTTTATCGATAAATCAAGTAGTCGTAGAAAAAAAATACCTAGAAAGCGACGAACTTTGTTTTGTCAGTGTTTATTGGTAGGTAGAAAATTGTTTTCATGCTGAATTATTTGCAACAAAATCATAAACATGCACATGAAAATTTCCCGCAACGTTTGTAAATTGTAAACAAAGTTCCGACTATGTCATGATCACATTTAAAATTTACAAAAAGTAATTTTTTTCTATTTTATCCAAATGATTTGGTAAATGCTAAAACAACCACCCCCCGCAGGGTCGGTGAACAGTGCTAGATTTATACCTCGACGCTTTGCGTCGCGGTTTATACCACCACTCTTCACCTCCCCTTCGGAGTATAGTTGTATATGATAGCTAGGAAATTTGCCCGATTAATTTGACTTCTGTTATGCCAGCAATGCCTATGGTTTTTTTTTGGCCAGTGTAGTACACGCGTCCCTTCTGATCGGGGGGGGGGGGGGGGGGGGGGGGGGGGGGGGGGGGGGGCCGGGGGAGAAATTTTTTTTTATTCTTGGGGGGGGGGGGCCAACCGATTAAATTTATAGTTGATTAATTCCCACGGATTTTTTTTTATTTTCACTGAATGTTATTTTTATGTGCTTTGTCTCCTCCTTCTGGTTCTTGCTTGTTTTCTCTCCCTCCTCCCCTCCTCCTTCTTTGTGTTTGTTTTTATGGTGTTGCTTATGTGTTTTTTTTTTTTTTTTTTTGCTTTTTTGTTGGCGTGTTGTTTTTTGTGTTTTTTGGGGGGGGGGGTGGGGGGGGGGGGGGGGGGGGGGGGGGGGGGGGGGGGGGGGGGTGGGGGGGGGGAGGGAGGGGAGTTCCAGGATGAAATTATTTATTTACCGTCGGGGAGAGTGGTCCACTGCTATAATTTTAAGTTGATGACATCCCCTGGAATTATTTTTAGTACGCAGTGCATTATTTTTCAGTTTCATGAAAAAGAAAGACCCGTACCTTCAAACGTCAATAGATCACAAGAACATCGATTCTTGGAGGGAAACGAAAAAAAAAAAAACTCTCCCCTTCGGAAAATGTCATGTCATGTAAAAAGATATTTGCCCTGTTTAAATTATACACTTTCTTCTCTCCATTCAGAGCCTTTTCCTTACGTTTTCAGAGCTTTTCAGATGAACCCATACGCGGATCTCACCACCCCGACGTCTCCTTTCATTGATATTACGTGCTAACCTACCGGTTAAAAACGTTCATCAGTCTCTGCTGAATTGCCCCAAGAAAAGGTAGTATCCAAAGCAGTATACCAGAAACCCAGATAAGGACATGAAAGGTGAAGTCAGAATACTCCAAACCGCCAAAGAGATGCTTGTAGACACGGAAGTGAATGACAAACGCGTAGGCAAACAGCACCATAACTATTTCAGCTCGTCGGCGGAACGCTGGAAAACCAAGCCAAACAATAGCAGCGAGGATAAGCACCAGCAATTGTATCAATGTAGGTGCGTTCTCTAGAATAGCGTGAATTGCCCAAGGAAAGACACAAAGAGCAAGAATAACCAGCGCTGAAGTTGAGATGAGCCTAAAAATATATGCCCACGGAATAATGCTCCCAACTATGAAACTAAAAACGCTCGTCACCAAAAGGCTGGCGAACAGAACGTTTCTTTGGTAAACAAGGTCCGGAACGTTGTGTTTATGTTTATGCGCATGCGAAGTGGCTCGTAACAGATCTCCAACTAAGAAATCGACCAAGTATGCAAGAGGACATGCATAGGTCATCCAGATAAGAGCCGGTAGAATCACGGACACGAGTGCTATTATCGTAGTAACTAGCACTGTATCGATCAAACCTGTAACAAGGCTTTGCCAATTACAGAAATAGCCAGTTCTCTCTCTCATTTGATTAAAGAATTCCTGATGCCATTTTGGGTTGTCCTTTTGCCCATTCCGATATTTCCAATCCAGGTAGGCTGTACCTGTGAAACCGCCCCCTGACACGCAGCTCATGTTTTCAATTTTCACTTTGAGTTGCAGTAATCTGCGCAGGACTCCGGAACAGAAAGCCGCTGACCTGATACCGCCGCCAGAAAACGCCAAACCAATTCTCGACATGGTTGTCAAAAATTGCTGTCAAAAAAAGTAAAAGAATAAATCACAAGAGAGCTTAATAAAAATCAACAAATAAATTGAAGGAAAGAAGGAAGGGGTTTTGTGTGAGATAGGTAAAAAAGCGAATGGCTTCATGCATGGATAAACTAAAAATAGCCTGCACCACAGACGAAACTAGACTCTAGTTACGTAAGACCGTCTACTAAGGTTAAATTACGCCTTCACGCAGACTAGGATAAAAAGGGAAGAGGACGAAAAAACACGGTTACCATTAGACATTTTAGATACTGGTATTGCTATGGTAACGTGGACATTTATATTCTTATTCATTTATTCTAAACCTGATTATTTCTTCCCTTAGCGTTCGCCATAAAACAAACTGTTCCATCTGGATCAAATCAAATGTGGTAAAGGCACTTTCAATTACGCTGATAATAAAAATGTTCTAGTGTCATTACATTGCCTGATTTAAAAAATGGTTTTTACCGAAATATAAATAACTCTCTTGACAAGAAAGGAATGTCCTGTCACATGTACAATCCACACATATCTCTCCACCAGTGTTGGAACATGGTGTCATTACACCATAGCTTTAGAATGATTTTCCTTACTCCGTAAAAAAGAGTTAAAAAAATTAATGCCAAATATCTGCAAGTAAATAGAAGAGTACAATGAAATTAGTGTATATATAACAGTGTGTAGCCGCATAGTAGTAGTCAACACGTACTATCTATTTCACGTTTTAAGTAAATCACTCCGGGAAGGATATATAGACAAAAGTTAATTTAAACTACGAGGCCCCTGAAAAATCACGACAAAAGTTCGATCCGTTCTAAGAACTTTTTCATTTGGAAATCTAGCCTTTTACCTAGCCTTATCGCAGTTTTTTTTATGAATTTAATCGCAGGAAAACGATATACATACACAAATTTTAGGCATGAACAGTGACGACTTATGGATATATATTTCGAGCAACAACAATTTGCCGTCTTGAATACGTAATAGAGATACATGTACACAGCACACAGTACCTTTTAATTCAGGGCTTTTCAACTACTACTAATAGATTAACGTTTTACATACCTGCGAGTGTTCGTCAAATATAGACGGCTTCAATATTTTTTGCTTTGTTTTCTTAACCAACAAGATTTAAAGCATATAAACTAGGGCAACTCAGAATATTTTATCGCCGCAGTATCCGCTCTCCTTTAAATTTCGATTATCGGTGCATTATTCCGTGAACTGCATTTAACCATGGTAACGGATCGGGAAGCGCTGTTTACACTTTTTTTAAAATTTTAATCTGCTTTCTTATCATGATAATCACTGCATATTAATTTGCAAGTACAAGAGGAGTTGTCATAGGTAACCTTATGAGCCTAAAAAAATTCCTAGCTTATCTAATTTTTTTGGTTGCGGTTTCGATTCGGTTGCTGGATTACATGTTTGGTAATTCTTACTTTTCATATACATTAAAACCGGACTGCGTCTCTTATATGCAATGGGCTTTAAGAATTTTGACACTTTCGATGCTAAACATAAGAAGCAATATGAAATGGGTTCAACAGGTTGGGCTTGCAAACAGAGCAAACTTGTCAGTGGTTGAACTACATAAGGCTGATTGGGTTTTACCCCTAATCGCCCTCTGTCATTTCTAATCAATGGCGCTATCCAGTAATAGAAAAAGCTTAAATAGATGAAGCAATAGCGAACAATATGTCTTCAGAACGCACTCGGCTTACTTTTGTATTCTATGCCCAGGCACTCGAATTGAGCATTAAAATTAGGAAACAATCAAGCAGGTCACGTTAGCACTCGCAAACGCATTTCATGGCCTTTCGTGCCAATTCTTTCAAATTTCTCGGAAGAACAGTGAACTCAAAACCACCCACAATACCTTTCAGGATTGTCGCGTACACTTTTTTCGACAACCTTTCTCGAAATAGCTGTATAATCCAGACGTATTCAAAAACATATACAAGCTGTACAAGCAGGGCTCAGGGAGACCTTTATCCGTGCGGTTATATGAATAGCTATGAGGAACACTGAGACGCCTTACATGAAGAGAGCTTTCAATAACTACGACATGAAAGCATTGAAATGCAATTAAGGGCCATGTCACGAAATTCCCCTTTAGTCTCTGGCTGGCTTCTCCAGCAAGAAAGCATGTGATTATGTTGGTGAATTATGAAGTACCCACTTCTTCTTATGCTAGTGAAAGTGAAGACATTTCACGTGAAATTAGGGCACTAAGGCGTGCTTGTATCAGTCTAGCAAGCATACCCCCAAAACAGGCGCAAAGAGTTCCTGCTCCTTTTATTAGTGTAATAATACCCATTATTTTTTTACGGCGTCGGCTGGGGTAATTAGGTAATTACAAACTGGGTGATATGACGTAGCGAGTTGACGTCGTTGTGTTTCTGTGAAATTTTGCACGATTTTAGCCATGCAAAATAAATGATTTTGTCGCAGCTTTTACTGGGAAAATCCTTGCAACATGCAACTAAGTAAGTAGAATATAATGGTGCAATACTAGAAAATCTGGAGGCAGTAATGTTCACTAACAACTATATTCAAGAGCCTTCATTTGCGGTTATCATTAAAGCTTGTGTATGTGGCCCGTTGACGCAGGCGCAAGCGGAAGCAGGCACAACAAAATAAAGTAAACTATATACCAAAAATTAAATACTTGCCCTTAAAGCAATTCGAGATTGTTCTACCATTATGTTCCTAGGGAAGCCAAGGTATACGAATTCAACCTTTATAGGTTTTTACTGTCTGACCATTTTACAGGCACGTAAGCAGTCAGCATAAAAATATTTTTCACAAAGTTTATCTGGAAACATTTTTCCTATTGGTACTTTATTTTGTTTTGAGCCCGTCAAAGAAATTAGAGTTGGTCATAAGAAATCTTGAAACAATTCGTGCACTGCCTTCCAACGCAGACTCCTTGCCACATTTGCCTGCCAAAGGGCGCCTGCTTTCCTCAAATTAAACTTGCAAACTTGTGGCTCTAAACCCAAATCCATAACCACGAAAGTAATTACATTTACGAGGAGAGAAACCCTGACACATTGGCTTCGACGCATGCCCGGTAACTTTTACGGTGATAGGCCGAAAACAAGGCAGGTGTGAAGAATTAAGTTTCAGTACTGTGGCCTGCAGCTGGAAAGGAGCCACAACTAGTTCGGGGGCTGAGCGGCAGGTTGAACTATGACAGCACTCGCAGCAACAGAAAGTCAACCGGTCAACCAGTCTTTTGCCTCAAGGGTGTGGCTAACGCCCCACTCACCAGTCTCAAGTTCAACCTAAATGTCACCTAAAGCCTCTTTCCACCTGATGTATTCTTTGTTCTGAACTCCCTTGCTAGGGTGTCTAGGCACGATAAATAGAATTTGTCCCTCTCCAACCATCTTGTCAGTGTGCCGTCACTTGGATCTGCCGCGTGGTAATTGACTCTAAACTTGAACCTGCTGGTAGAATTTACTGGCTGTATTAAGGTATTTCATTCTTTATGCAAGAGGTCTGAGAAAAGTTGCAAATTGGCTACTGGCCGGTGGTAGCCCCTAACTGCGCTCCTTATTGAATTGATCCCTGTCGTCATCCCTTCTCATCATAGCGAGGCCAAAATTAAAGTGGCAAAGTGAGGATCCAATAGAGAAAGTAGGCTGGGTTTTATGCCATAGTGATTCTTATAGTCATTCTTCCTAACTGTCACTCACTCGTAATCAGAAAGTATATCCATTTTAGACGTATATAATAAGGGCAAATATTTTCAATCTTAAGATTCGGGGGGCAACTTTGTTGTTGTTGTTCCGGTTATTTTTATCGTTCCAGTCAGAGGATGTCGTAGCAGCTTTATTTCTTGAATGATCTATTTGTGCTTGCAAAGAAAATATTTCCATTAATCATAACTACAACAAAATTCCCAAACCTGATTGGTTATCATCTGTCCTAATTTCATCATTAATAGGACAGTACGAGTACGCGTTATGCCTGGCCTACAGTAATTGGACAGTACGCTCCATCACGCGCGCGCTTAACTGGCTTTTTTTTTTCATTGCTAGCAAAAAGAAATCTTGGAATTTCCTGTGTTTCGATTTTAAAAAGGGCCTTATGTTTCACAAATTTTGTTAAAGTTATGATTAATTGGTAACAGAACTTCGTGACGTCCAATTCGGTCTGTAATCATACGAGTGATTAAACAATTCGGACTCCTGATACGTAGTCGTCCAATTTTGTTAATCACTCGTATGACCGAATTGCACTCCACTCAGTACTGTTACCATTACTACTCCACCTGTAGCTCTTAGGCTGCTCCGCCTCGTGGCAGATTTCCACCAAGATTGCCCGGATGTCCTATATGACGTCACAACCGTCTAAGCCAGCGAAAGAGTTAGCTTTCTTCTACCCAGATCTAATGCGTGGAGTAATTCGCTGCCATAATCTTTGTCTGATATGTGTTGCGATCCGTCGACAACTATCTTTTGTAACACCTTAATTTGAGCAGAGGTAACAAGCCAAGGTTTTCAATATGAGGCCCATCACTAATGCGCAATATCGGGGGAGGCAAGTGTGCATTCGAAAATAAAATGATAGTTTCCTGAATTTTTTTGATTGTCCTTATTTATTGTTTATTCACTGGGTCGGCTAAAATTAAAGACGAAGGGTGAAGCTTCAACGCAGAATTTTTCAAGTCTATTTGATAAATATGCTTTCGGCATTGCACGTGTATAACAACTACGTTGGGTGTCCACTTAGGATAAACAGGATTAAGTGTTAAAGATGAAAGATTGCTCATTAATAAAATGAACATCGATGACAGCTTTAAGACCCTTGGTTCAAAACAATAGACTTGACGCCTCGCCCTTCACAAATACATGTATGCGACGATCGTGACGTTAAACGTCGCTATCCCCAGAAAATCAAGCCTGCGGCTTGTAATGTGATTTGGAGAATCAGACGGCACACCCCCACCACAAATTCTCAGGCCTTACCCCCAC